CAAAATCTTTGGGGGCAGGGATATGACAATGTCACTAATATAAAAGCAAATACAATGGGCTACAGCAAAAATACTAGAAAATAATTCTACAGCTGTTTATGTTCCTTATTCAGCACATGGTCTAAATTTAGTTGTAAATGATGATGCAAAAATTTCATTTGAAAATGTTAGTTTCTTCAGTATAATTCAGGAATTTTACAACTTCTGCATCCACAAACGATGAACTATTTTACTTAAATATGTAAGCCTAACATTAAAAACCATTGTCTAATACTAGATGGAAAAGTCATGTTGAAGCAATCCAACCATTAAAACTACAGGCCAAAGAAATACAGGTAGCCCTTGGTTTACACCGCAGTTCCGTTCCTACAAAAGCCAGTGCAAATTGAATCAGCGTAAAATGAACCCATATTTACACTGAGGTATAGGGTTAGGTTCTACATAAGTGAAAAATACACAAATAATTTTGTTTATTACTACAATATAATACAAAATACAAATAAATTTAATTTTTAAAATGTATTTTATCATAAAATAAAGTAAAATGTTTTTATTAAAAAATTTTAATTTCCAATCTCTTACATTTTTCGGAAAAAGTATCCATCTTTAATTGTTTACATTTTTGTTTTCTTTTATTGAGAATTTTGGAATATAGTCGTATAAATGCAATGATGCTCCTTTTTACATTTGCACTTCACTCCCAATCATTATCTATCTCCAAAGTTCATCCATCAAACTTTCTATAGTTGAAAGGATACATTAACCCGACGTAGAACACGACGTAGACAAGTGGAGACACTGATTGGTCGACCACCAGTCGCCGTAGCGCATATATAAGGTCAGTTTGAGCGGGAAAATTCAAGGTGGCTAAGGAGAGATAGATATCATCTGGCCAAAGAGAAGTAGATTTGTCTCACTAACAATAGTTTGTGATTGCTGGAAGTGCTACTGCATCGTAAGGTGTTTTCCTGAACAAACTGATAAGGAATACATTCATTGGCGCTATGGATTCAGATGCTATTTATTGGACTATTAAGTTTAATAACTTGACTCGTGGGTACCTAAATGCTTAGTATTTTAATATTAATTTAATGCAAATTTATACATATCTAATAATATTAAACAGAAAAAATAAATATATTCAATAAAAATCTTTGTTTTAATGAATGTACAATGTTGCGGCTTGGTAAATATGTCAACAATGAAACGAAAATCACTCTAGCATAGTGAAAGTCGGGGAATTACACCGCGAAACAGCAAATTGCGCAGCGGCATTATTGTGAATCAGTGTAAACCAAGGGCTACCTGTATATCTTGCTTTACAAAAAATTAAAAATGATACTTCAAAAGACATGAACACAAGATTTTAGGCAAATGCATTGTCATCAAAATTAAAGTCATTTAAATTTATTTGTTCTCTGATTGTGTGGCATGATATTTTGAGTAAAATTAATATTATTAGCAAGATGTTACAGAGTCCTGATTGTAACCTGAGTGAAGCTCTCAAAAGTTTAACTCTTTCTTTCAAGTGTTAAGCAAATAGGCCAGAGTACCAATTCATCGATACCCTGTTAAAAATCGATTTTTATAAAATTTATCAACAGATGTCAGCACTTGACAGCAGCGTCTTGTTTATTGTCTAACATATTTTTGTCCAGGTGGTGTTTTGTTGACTTAAAAAATTTTAATTAATGCTTTTTTTCCTTAGTTTTTCATTTACTGATAATTTTTTATTTCATTTTTAGCATATTCATGCAATAATATTACTATAATAAGTTCATTCATACTATAATAAGTTTATTCAGCTATCATAAGTCAACATGTTATAAATATTCAAGTTATGACCTTCAGTTCTGATATTTTATATATTTTTTAATTTTTATTTTAATCTAAAATATCAGCAAATGTTACATCTATTACTACAAATAATCATATTTTTATTACAAAAATTTATATTCTTGTTCAATATGAAGTGAATAAAGTATATTAGTTCATTATATTAGTTGGTAGCAGAATAAAGTTTTGATTTCAAACAAATGTTTGATATAATGTGTGATAATTTCACAACAAATAAACATACATGAATAATTGTTATATCCAGTTGTACAAAACAATATTTTATGTCTTTCTGGCTCAGTGCCAGCAAAAAACTAGGTAACTAGACAATTTTAATTTTGAGAAAAAGTTACAAATTATCAAGTTTAAATGTCAGTTCTGATATACAGTAGAACCTGGGTATATGACCTTAATCTGTTCCTGATGTTTGGACTTATACCAAACCAACCTTTCCCATAAGAAGTAATGTAAAAATGATTAATCCGTTCTCATGAAAAAAAAATGGCTGGCTTTAAACACCTCGCTTTCCTCGCTAGTTCCTGCTAGATTTTTCATGAGATCAGCATGTATCTTTTTAGCTTTCTTGCAAATAATTGCTTCTGATATGCTGCCTCCACCACACTGTTTTTCAGTTATCCAAAGCAAAAGCAATTTCTCAACATGATCTAATTCTTTGATCTCTGTTTAGAAATTGATTTAACTCCTTTCGCAATGTTATCAGATTTAATAGTGTCTTTATTTTTCACGATTGTCGATATCGTCATTCTCGGAATACGGTATGCAACAGTTAAAATCTTGAACAAGCATGCCACTTCATATTTCTCAACAATCTCTTTTTTCAATTCCATTGTGATTCTAGTCATTTGTTTTTAATTTTCTGTTGCTTTTGGGTTGCCTTTTTGCAATTCATGATTAATAAAAATAATAAAATTTCACATACAAATTAAAATCAGAAGAAATTTAACAAAGTTATAAACTGTGGCACCACAAATGTCTAGTCTGGTCTAGTACACTGATATTGCTACTTGTTCATAGATGGTGCATATAATTGAATTAAGTCATATACCAAACAAAAGTCGTATACCGAGCAAAATTTGTTTTGTCCAAACAGGACGTATTCCGAATTGGATGTATTCTAAAGCAGATGTATACCGAGGTACCACTGTATATTATTTTTTTCTTATAAATTTTTCTAATAAAACATATTGAAAACTATTGTATTTAAAAACTAAAGATATTAGTAAATGTACAAGATTTTTTTCATATGAATATAATGATAATTTGATTTTTGATGAATTTTTAAAATAATATTGCCTGACTGACCTTGACTGACCTATATTGCTCTCGGCCATTTTACAACATAAACATAAACAAGGGGGCGTAGCAAATGTCAAGAAAAAGTTAAAATAAATAAAAAATGATTTGAATGAATTTAAAACAGACAAATCATTTGAATCCATTATAAGTTGTGCAGCTCAAATGGCAGAAGACTTAGAGATTGAGTCAACATTTTCTACCAATATAAGACGAAGAATATTGAAAAGACTTTTTGATTATGAATCAGAAAACAAATGCATGAAAGATCCGAAATTAAATTTTAAAACACTTTCTTTTTGGTAATAATAGATTATGCATTAACGTTGTGTGAAAAGTTTAAAGTTTTGGAAGAACACAATGACACATTTAAAGTTTTATCAAGATTAAACACATCATCAAATTGGAATGAAAGTGAAATTTTATCACATTAATAATTTAGGATTAAAATTAGCAAATCATTCAAATAAGGGCAGCAATGTAGATGGTGCATCTCAATCTAAAGAAATAAAATCTTTAAAATGCCATTTAGATAAAAAGATGACCATCAAGAATATTTTAAATTTTATCTATAATAATTATTTGGTTGACTGTTTCCCTAATAGTGCCATTGCTTTAAGAATATATTTGGCTTTATTGGTAACAGTTGCAATTGCCAAAAGAAGTTTCTCAAAATTAAAGAAAGATAAAAAATTATTTAAGATTCTCAATGTCAGATGAAAGATTATCAAACTTATCAACAATCTCTAGAGAAAGCGAATTATTAGATGAGTAGAACTGACTGCCTTAGTTAAAAAGTTCTCTAGTTTAAATGCTAGAAAAGTTCTTTGCAATGAAAACTTCCTTAGAATGCATATTGCCCAGCTTTAAAAAATGGACCTGTAAGTACTATTGACACAATAAACTATTATTACACAGAAAAAAATATAAATTACATTTTTAATCCTAGACTTCAATATGAACATTTTTTTTACAGAAATGTGGAATTTATCATGCTTCAGCAAGAAGTCCGATCAAGCATTCCAAAATCAATAGTGCCTAATCAGTTGCAGCAAAGCCAGCTAGCACACTCCACTGGCTAAGTTAATATTTCTACTGTAAGACAAACAAGAATTAATGTCAATATCAAAAGACTTAATTTTTCACGAATCTCTCCTAGCCAGATGGTGAGAGATGGGGACCTCACCACCTGGCAGCCCCATTATGAGCCTGGTCAAACCATGATGGGTATAAAAACAGGCCCTCTTAACACATACAGGGCAGAAAGGGTTAAAAATAAATTAAACCAGGAATTTTTTGAGAGATTAGATGATGATGATATATAGGTAAATATAAGAGAAGTTAAAAAATATTAGTCTGCAGTATAACTTAGTTTCTCATCAATTTAAATTTAATTATTATATGAGGGCAGTTTTTGTTTCAACCTTTGATGGTCCAAAAAACAAAGACGAGTGTAAATAACAAAATAAAAATCCCAAAAAAAGGGTATATGAGCAGAGAGAAAGATACATTAAAGATGTACAGTTCTTCAGATGTCATCTACAAGAAGAAACCACTTTAAAAACACTTAAACTGAGGAAATCCATCAGAAAAGATTTTGTAGAGAAGATGTGTGGAAGATAGAGAGATTAATTTTGAATTCAGTCATTAGAAAGAAAGGTAAATCTATTGGATTTATATCAAAGCAAATTAAGTCTCTTAAAAAAGATTTAAATCAAAATTTAATTTTAGATTCTTATAAAAATAAAAATTATATAAAAAACAAAAATACTAAATTGTTTAAACTATTTGGTTATCCATTACAAGAAGAAAGTGTTGAATGGCAGAAAAATCTGGTCCTAAACTTATCATCGAAAGAAATACCAGAGGATTATATGCGGTTTTTATCATATGGAGCTGGTATGAATTTTCCTTTTTCTAGTGGAATAGTAAATACGATTGCAGATATTGAAGATGCAATTTTTCACTGTAATCTTCAAAAAGAAGAAAAAGATGAAATTAGAATTAAAATTTGTGAAGATTTAAAAAAACTGGAAATCAAGAAAGGGCGCATTCAGGATCATAGAGCAAGACATTATATAGGTAAATACAATAGAATTAATAAATTTATTAAAAAACATAATTTATGTTTGTTAAAAGCAGATAAATCAAATCAAATAGTGATTATGGATTTATACGAATTAGAGAATAAGAAACAAGAAATAATATCTGAAGGAAGTTTTAAAAAGTTAGAAAAAGACCCGTTTAATGAAATACAAAGAACATTAACAAGAAAATTGAAGAAATTTGTGAAAGAAGGTCATATCCAGGCGAGTCAAAGTAAAGAAATACTTTCAAAGGAAAACGTAAGAATTCCTAAATTAACTGTCAGAATTAAAACACATAAACAAAATAAATGTAGACCAATCATAGACTTTAGATTCACATTATTATATAATTTAGAAATCTTTATTAAAAAGATATTACAGGATATACAAATTTCGAAATATGCAGTTAAAAATGCTGATGATTTAATTACAAAATTGCAAAAAGGTGTAATCTTGTCTAATTATAAATTGATGAGTTTGGATATAACATCTATGTACCCTTCTATTACTAAAGATATGATTTTGAGCAGTTTACGTAAGTATGGTGTTCCTGATTATTTAAAGGATTTAATTACTTTCACATTAGATAATAATTATTTTACAGTGAAGGAAAAGAACTTTTATCGACAAACAGAAGGTATTTCGATGGGCTCCGTAATAGGACCGAAATTAGCAGAAATTTATATGCTGGATGTGGACATGATTCTTTCAACATTAAATGGAGTTATGTTTTTTGCAAGGTACGTCGATGATATTTTAATAGTGTACGATAGTACACTAACAACAAACTTACAAATTTTGGAACAAGCTAATAAAATTAATTTGAATATTAAATTTACTCAAGAGCATGAATTAAATAATCAATTAAGTTATTTAGATATAACAATTAAAAGATTTGAAGACCATTTGGAATACTGTAAATTTGAAAAACCGTGTAATACGAGAAAAGTAATTAATTATAAATCATACTGTCCTTTAAATCAAAAATATAATGTATATTTGATGGAAATAACAAAGATTTTTTCTAGAACAACAAATATAGATAAAAGAGAAGAAGAAATTGAAGATACACATAAGAAATACATCTTAAATGGATATCCAAAAAGATTACTAAATGATTGGTTCCACAGATTCTTAAGAAACAGGTTTAAAGTTAAACGTTGTCAAGAAATAATAAAGTATGTATCATTTCCGTATATAAAAGGTATTTATGAAAAATGTAACAACTTCTTTAATCATAAATTAATTAGATTGGCTCCATCCTTAAATAACAGGTTATCAAATATGATGATCATCAGAAGTAATGCTAAAGATTTATTAGAAGAAGAAGGTGTTGTTTATCGGATAGAATGTACGTGTAACAACCCTAGTTTTTACGTCAGTGAAACAAAACGAAGATTAAGGATCAGACTGTCGGAACATTTGGCTGCCATAAGGTTGAAAATGAGTAATTCTTCTGTCTTCCAACATTGTAATAGTAATAATTGTCAGATAAATATTAATAAATTAACAATAATTTTTAGGGAAAAAAATAATGTAAAGCGAAAGGTAAAAGAACACTTCGCTATAATTATGCAAAACAATAATGTTAATTTAAATACCGGAATGTTAACAGCGGATTGCTGGGAATTTTTTGTTAACCATATAAGTGGCTGTTCAATGAGTTGACTGTTAGAATGTAGATTTTGTGCTGTAAGCCCCACTGAAGAGGCCATAGGCAAAATGAATTTGGGAAGCTTGTTAGTAATAATGTAAATAAAAGTTTTTTCTCTGCAATTATTTTCTTTTTTATACCTTTTTAAACTCTTTTTTTTAAAAAAAAATTTTATAGTCATTATTGGCTTGTTTTTTAAAAATTGAAGTTTTATATTATCCAAGTCAGAAGGGAAAGAAAAATATAATTTTTTCGTAATTTTACATTTTATGTAAGAAGAAAACAAAATAACAAAATAAATTTATTACCAAAAGTTAGGTACAAACATAGTTACTTTTCAACATAATCACTGTGAAGATTGAGGCATTTGTCATATCTGTGGATGAGCATTACAATCTCCTTTTCATAGAATGTTGCTGCCAGTGACTTGAGATGGGCCTTAACGTTGTTTTGAAGATCATCATTAGTCTTAAACCTCTGCCTCCTAGCCATTTTTTCAGTTCAGGGAAGAGGTGGAAGTCACTTGGCACTAAATCGGAGCTGTATACTTGATGTTCAAAAAGTTTCCATTGAAATTGCTGAAGAAGCTGTTGGATTACAGCAGCACTGTGAGGTCGAGTGTTGTCATGAATCAGAACTCCAGAAGTCAGCATGCCTCTTCTTTTGTTCTGAATGGCTCTCTGCAGTCATTGTAAAGTCTTGCAATAAACAGCTGCATTGATCGTAGTTACCAGTTCCATAAACTCAACAAGCAATACACCTTTTTGGTCCCAAAGCACAGTAGTCATAACCTTCCTGTTGTTGAAGGTTTGTTTGAACTTTTTTGGTTTGTTTGGCAAGTTTGAGTGCATCCATTGTCATGACTGTTGTTTTGTTTTGGGGGTGACATATTGAATCCAAGTCTCATCCCCAGTCATAAATGATGTCAGAAAATTATCACCTTCAGCTTCATAACGGGTGAGGAATGTCAATGTTGCTGCTATTCGGCGACTTTTGTGGTCATCAGACATCTTTGGAACCCATTGAGTGCACAGTTTTTTGTAGCATAGGTGATCTGTTACGATCCTGTAAATGGATGATCTTGAAACTTCAGGAAATTCCACACACAACTCACTTATGATAAACTTCCATTTTTTCAAACCACTTGGTCAACTCGCTGAACAATGTTTTCGGTTGTGACAGACTTGCATCCTTGTCCCCCTTCATCGGGAACATCGGTTCAGCCTTCTTTAAATTTCCTACACCATTCATGCACAACACCATCATTCAAAGTTTTCATTGTATACCTGGCTCATTCTTCAATGAATTTCTACAGCACTATTCCCTTCTGCTTGAAGAAACTGGATTACAATACCCAACTTGCACTTGGTGGGAGAGTCAATTGTAGCAACAATGTTTACATATGTGCCTGCAACTAAGATCACAATGGTGTAATGATGTTGGAAGTGGCAGTGGCTATAGTAGAGGAGATGCACAATCGCCCTCTGTGTATACTCACCTCCTTCCACTTGTTGGCTGTTTACCTGCATGATTAGAAGTTGAAAAAAAAACTGCCTAAGTATTTGGTGTTTAACAGATTCAAAAGCATCTCTTGCCTACAATCTACTGAACATGTCAAATTGCCAATTATTGATATAAACAGTTGAGATGATTGGATAATAGGAGAGTGGGTGGTTGAGACCACTAAAAGTTGATGTCTTACATATATAGTGTAAATGATGTAAATAATATAGCAATAAGAAGTTGATCACACTTTGAATTAATTGTATCTATTTTATTAATGAAGGGAGTTGCTGAGCTTGCATAAATATAGTTCCAGGCTTATTGATGGAAACATGGATTTAAAGTCACAGACTGTAAACTGCATAGAAGGTAATTGGCAAGCTATATGAACATCAATACTCTGTGTTTGGCCCTGAGGAGGTAATTGACAAACTAAGATGCCTTAACATCAAAGATGAACAGTTATTACGATCTGTGACTTTGAATCCCTGTTCTGCCAATATGCCTGAAGTTGTATTTTGCAAGCTCAGAGACTTCCTCCTATATAATATACTCATCAAAAGGAGAATTATGATTATTATGATGTAATATTATGGGAAGGAGCAATTACAATAATTCTTGATGACAAGAGGGAGAGGGGTAAGAAATTACTAATTTTTTGATGATATAAGGACTACTCTTTATCCACATTAAAATTATTTTCTGAATTTTTTTAGCATTTATTATATTATTTTTATTATATATATTTTTAATATTTGATAAGTAAAATGAATAAAGCAATATGATTTAAAAAATTTTGTCATTTGATATGCATTTTTATCTTCCAGACAAAGTTTAGGAGACTCTTCTCTCTTCCTCTTAGTATTGTTTTTTTTCATTTCACTTATTTTATAGTTATATCTATGATGAAGTGAAATAAAAAAACAATGTAATAGTAATTGTATTTCAGATGCTTTAAGAATAAAAGACATCCAAATTATATCATATCAAGTTTATTATTTTTAAGTGTCAATTTCACCATTTATCATTCAAACAATTATTCTGCATTACATATCAGTGTGTATTATATAACTTAATACATTATAACATATTAATTAAAAACAATGTATTCAAAAATAACTTAAGTTATATAAATAATAGATTAAAAAAAAGCAATTTTTACCTTGTAAAATATCAGCTATAGTATTTAGCAAATAATTTAGGAACTCATGAGCATCTTGCTGCATATAATTATCAAAAAGCTCTGAAAATAATAAAGGAATTATGAATTACAAAAACACTTTAGTGTAGACTAATAAAAACTTTAAATAAATTTAATTAACTTTTTGACAAATTAATATGTGAATGATTAATAATAAAAAGCACAAGTTAACATATATATTTTGGGAGAACTAGAAAAAATTCTTCTTGGCTCTTTGAAGGACAGAACTCCACCCCTTGCCACCCATGTAATCCCTGCCTTTGTTGATTAATTAGTTTTATTATTCTTATTATCAACAATCCATTTTTGTTTAAACTGTAAGAGAAAAACATAAATTAATACAAAGTTTTTGAGAAATTGGAAAAACTGCCTGCCTTTGAGTAAGAAATGGCCTTGAGGGCATGAAATACCCCCAGTGTTTATAAAACTTCACTTTTTTGGATAGAATTAACTTTGTAAGTTAAATGTGTAATTAATATTAAAAATTGTTATTATTTTAAAAAATATATATAAAATGTTGTCTTTGCTTTAAAAAGTTTAATCTAATTTAAATTATTTTATATTTTTTGGTTTAAACTTTAGAGGTGTTTTTAATTAAGATAAATAATACAAAAAGCATTTTATTTTTTGTAATTCTATGATATAATGTGCTTCCTTCCTTTTTCTTTTAAAAAAACAAAAATTCTCATCACTCACTTGGAGTTTTATGTGGCTCACACTGCCATAGGCATGGGCATTCATCTGCCCATATAATGTGTTCAACCATCAACCTTGTGCCATCAAGGAAAATGGCAGAGTTCATGAAAGTGTGTCTCAAGTTCCAGAGGGTGAGGATTTTCAGATTCATGGCCTCCAGTTCTCATATCGATGTGGTGTTTGAATCCAGGAGTGTTCCAGCATCCCAAGGCCATCAGAGGACACTGGGAACTTCACCCATGAGTATGGCAAGCATGGTCATCTTAGCAGCTAAGTGCAGGGTGACTCGGGCCTGGCTGCGCTGTGAAGGAAAGCCTACCATATTTCAACAGCACCCCTGTCAAGTGAGACCCCAGAAGAAGCTCCTGCTGGTGCTTTCACTCCTTATCGGCAAGGCTACCAAATTGCATCAGATAAGCCCAAACAACCATACTCTATTTATTCTGTTCGAAGACAAGACATCCCTGAGAACCTTGTTCATAACAGTTACAGAAACCACTCCCTCTGCCACTGAATGTTTCAGTGGCCCGTTACAGGCCCCTTCCACATCAGTGACATTGAAAACAGCCACCGTTTTGAAGTGAGTCTGCATGCCACTATGCCAAACTGCAGCTCTGATTGCCATCCATCCGAACAGGGATAGGTTCCAGTGTAGGGAGATGTTCAAAACCCTGACAGAGGCCGCAGATAGGGACACAGCAAGCAAACAGCAAGCTTCACTAAGCTCCACACTTCTGGAACCTTAGACCCGAATCTAAAGACTTCATCAACGGCTGAGGCCAAGGAAAGATCTTAGGATCCTCTAAACCCACCTGCCTCTCACTGCTAGGCCCTCACCACACCAAGGTTGGTTCCCTACCTTGGGAGGGATCAATACTAACAACTGAAGAGCAGAATATTCATATATACAACTTTCCAAAATTCCTTTTATATATATTACTAGCTGCAAGGACCCGCTTCGCTGGGTTTTTTTTATATATATAAAAGACTGTTTTTCTAAGTAATCTACAATCTAGCTGCAAGGAGCCGCTTCGCTGGGCAAAAAGTAACAATAGTGAAGATTAAGATAATTACATTATAACTAATCTTACCCATTTTCACAGAATGCAAGAATTAGGTCCCCTGTTTCCAGACTAATTAGAGAATTTTTACGTTTAGTCAAACGAACTATTTTCAACGTTTCTGGAACGCTTACAATCGTTCTATAATTGAACCAATATTCGAATTTTATGTTTGAATTTAATTCGAACAAATTCGAACATTGTTCGAATTAAATTCGAACCCGCTTCGCTGGGTTTTTATTTGTTCGTACATTTGTATGTAATGTAGTTTTTTATATATATAAAAGACTGTTTTTCTAAGTAATCTAGAATCTAGCTGCAAGGACCCGCTTTGCTGGGTTTTTAAAAAGTAACGATAGTGAAGATTAAGATAATTACATTATAGCCAATCTTACCCATTTTCACAGAATGCAAGAATTAGGTCCCCCATTTCCAGAATAATTAGAGACCTGGTCCTGATTCTATTTCTGAACGTCTCTTGTTCACGTCAAGTCAAACAAACTATTTTCAACATTTCTGGAACGTTTACAATCGTTCTATAATCGAACTGTGAAATCCGGAATTTTTGTCGACTATTTGTCGATTAATTGTCCTGTATTTGCTTAAAATCTAATTAAATTTTCCTTTAACTTAAAGTGGAACCTAACGGGGAAAAAAAACTTTTCGTTTATGTTCGACATAAACGAAAAGTTTATGTCGAACATAAACGAAATTTCAATTTGAAACTAATCCCACATTCAATTTGAAACTAATCCCACATTCCAACGCTAAAGTTGATAGTTAGCATGGTCCCGGGAACAACTCTGACCCATCTGCATACTTTTTACCTCACAACAATTGGTCACATGACCATTTTCCCACACCGAACTTATAAAAACCCCTTCCTTCCCCTTCTCGGGGGAGTCGTTCATCCGCCGTCACTTTTACAACTGTGTCCTACGAATATTGTGTCCTATTAATATACTGTGTCCTATCCGATATTGTGTCCTAAAGAAAAATTATTATCCTAATCCTACCACATCGTTGGATATCAAAACCTTTTTCCTTAAGAATATTCAAAGACATAAAGAGGTATGGAACTTATTTTTGTGAACTCTCTCTCGGTCCTTCGCGGTTCAGGGATTCAGATTTTTCCCTTTGAAATTAGCTATTGTAATTAATTAGTTATTGTATCTATGTAGCTAATAAATCGTTGTTATCTTGTTAAATTGGTGTCCTCGTTTGCTCGTGTATCGTCTGTCATCTTACCGACGCACTCCTCCCTCCGCCACTCGACCCGAAACATTTAATCCCGTTACTGCGGGAACGGTAAAATTTTAATCCATCCTGACCAGTNGAACGTTTACAATCGTTCTATAATCGAACCAATATTCGAATTTTATGTTCGAATTTAATTCGAACAAATTCGAACATTGTTCGAATCAAATTCGAACAAAACATTCGAAATAGAAAGCCACTTTCAACCACTTTCAGCCTCATATCTCCCGCACCCTTATAGCTATCGAGACGCAACCACCCCTATGCACGAATGGAGACTTGGGGCTACCACCACATACAAACACCATTCATGTGCAATGTGTAGTTTTGGCGAAAAAGTGAAATATAGGGACATACAGACATACATGTCCATTTTTATATATATATAGATATAAGTTATAAAAATCAAAATGATTCCTTCTGTGGCACTGCAACTGAAGAATGTTCTAAAGAGCTATGGACTTAGATTATGTGGCCTTATATTAAAGTGGCATCATTGTTAGAAGCAATACATCAAATTTAAATGCAACAACAGTAATACCAAAATGTTGATGCATATAACTAGTGTTGAACTGAATATTTAGTATTCATTACACTTAGCAACAAATTAAGTATTCAGTATTTAGCTGAATACCAAATACATCTTTGATGCTTGGACCAAATACTGCTCAAGTCAAACTATTCAGCCAAATAATCTGATCTAGTTTGGGGAGCGAAAGAGAGGAAAGGAAGGAAAAAAAAATTAAACACAAAACAGAATGAAAATATCATTTATAATCTCAGATATTTAAAAAATATTGCTATTTATTTCTTTTCAAAACAAATATAACTTTAATAGATAATCTTGAGTAAATATTATTTATTAATAATCACAATTCAAGAATAGTAAAATGCAATAAAAAAAAATGTCAATGCTTCTGCATTCATAGAAAGTAAGTGATTTTGTTGGTCATCATAAATACTTCCAGCTTTGCTAAACATACTACATATAAACATGTTTAATGAATGTACTACTGTACATTCATTAAACATACTACTTAGTAAAGCTGCCAAATAACAACATACTTCAATGGCAAGATCTAATTTTTTACTTTTCATTACATTTTAAACTTAAGTAACAATTTCATCAGAGTAAAATTTGTCAATTCTGTCTGCTTGTTGAATTTTAAATACCTATTAATTAGATAAGAATTAATAGGTATTCTTATTATTTTCTTTCCTATTAATGTTATTCAATTTCCATTATTTCTCTCTCTCTCTGTTTTGAGTTCACTCATCCTGTCTAGACAATAAAATCTTGTTAGAAAGAGTGATACTGACCCATAATACAATGAGTTAACAAATACAACTAGCAAAATATTTGATTTAATGGCAAAAACAAAATGAAAAAGACAAGATTCCTTTCTTGTAGCCTTCACAGTAAAAAGAACAGAGTTGTGTCAAAGAGAGAAAATGTATCACTGCATCACTCAGAAAAGTGAAGTCCCTTATAACAATTTTTTTTTTATTACTTACATAAAATGTTTAATAATTATTATTAGTAATACCTAATATTATTTTTTTCTATCATAAATGATGATATAAATTAAACAAAATTTTAAAATACTATTTTTTAGAAGTAATATAATAAATAATTGTACCAACCATTTTCTTTTCGAAGACGTGTAATAAATTTCTTAGGAGCTATTGTTCCAGTTTTCTTTTTCTGTGTAGCAATGCTGTAGAAGAGATCAGCTAGACATGTTAACAAGGTTTCTTTGGTACGTTTATTTTTTGCTTTATAATCCAGAACTTTGTCTCTAAACGGCTTACAGAAGTACAGAGCTTGTAATACAGAATTACAATAACAAGTATTGCCAAACTGAAAATAGTTTACAAAATGTTAAAATGAATGACAGTAGTAATGATAATAATAAAATAAATAATAATACAGAATAAAATTCTATTATAAATTATACATTGAGAAAAAACTGCAGATCTATTTTATCAGAAAGCAGAAATCTCTTAATACTGTATCTAATATATAGAAGTCAATTAACTGATTTTAATCGTATGAAGGTACAGTACAACATATGAAGTGTGCAATGCCATAACATTGTAAATGCCATTTTTTTTTAAATACATTTTATTGAAGAACTGAATTCTAAATGCAATGTTTTTTGACACAAAAGAATATTGTGGCAATATTGGCAGTGTAAGTGGCTGTATTTTGAAGATGAATTTATGTGAAAATATAACATTTAAAGTGCCAGAGTGCAAGTCATGTGACTTTTGGCACGTAAAATGTTGCAGCTTATATTTTGATATTCCAGAGAATTTGTAACCCAGAGAGTTTTTTACCATTTTATTGTAAAATTAAAATGAATTCATTCATTAGAAAAAATGTTTTTTACCTCTCCTGAAAAGTTTCTTTTTTGGCATTTACATCATTATGGCATTGCACACTTCATATAATTGTTTCTAAATTAAATTTTTGAATGTTTACTATATCTTAAAAATCTTAAAAATCAGGGTTGACTAAACCTTGTCATGACAAGACAATATTGCCTATCAGAAATATATGAAAGTTGCATATTCTATTGAAACAATATTTTATATTATACATTGTTAAAATATTATAGTTATCACTGTTTTATAAGTAAATGTCACCATAACTTTACTTATACTTTATCAGGGTGTCCAAGAATTTCTAATTTCCCTGAGATTTCCAGATTTTCCAGGATAAAAACTGCATTTTTCCCTAACTAACTGAAACCAACTCACTGCATAAATTAAAAACAGTTCACAATTTATTTCATGCTACCAAATGAAACTCAATTATAAGACTGTTCAATTTCTTTTATTATAAAATATGATGAGCTGATTAAACAAAATGAAAAAGTTAACATACTGTTGCTTCAAAACATGCAGAAGATTGTATAGCACATACAGGTTCAACATGACAATTTTATTAAATTAAAAAAAATATGGAAATTCAATTAAGCATAGGAATGCATTCACAAAAAACATCTCTACATAAAATGAAGTTTATTTAACCAGATATTACATATAATTTATATGAACATATTAATGATAAAATATTTATTATGAAATTTAATATTTCATTAAAAAAAACAAAATCTATGTTTATTTTCTTGTAACTGTAAATTAAAAATTTATAGCATATAAAACTTGTTAATTTAAATAGATTTCATTATTAAACTCAGCAAAATTTCAATAGATGGGTGAACTCAAATGAAGTAAAATCAATTAACAATGGTTAAATCTGTTCAAATTACAGTTAATAGATTTAACATGCTATAATATGGGAAATGATACTAATGTCACATAACATGTTTTGCTTCCAACTTCTTACTTATACTGTGAATCTAGTGTGCACTTCATTTCTGTTTCTCAAAAAGTTGAAAAGGGGGCACATTAAAACAGAATAAATACTGTACAGTAACATCTTTCCAAAAAAGACTCTTAATGACATTTTGCAAGAATAATGACAAATAAAAAAATTGACTTTTAGTTAAAATAGCGATCAGTTCCAAACCCTGCAATCATAAATTGCAAGCAATGCTGAAGTGTAGCTGGATTTTACATACTATTTACTCGGTAAGAGCTTTGAAATTGTTGTGATAAGACCGCCTCTACAACCTTATTTCTAAAGAAAACCAACTGCTAGCTAAAGTTGCCAACTGTTTTTTAGTGAATCCAAGACAACACTTAAAAAATAAGCTATTTACAATGGAAAAAAGCTACATATTTTTTCATATAACAATTTAAGCCATATAATTCAAATTTTGTATTTTATTAAAACATTGAAATAAATATTGTAATTGTTATACAGGGTGGGGCAGAAAGGACAGACGTTTCTGAAATGGACAGAACTCACCACCAGATGGAATGACAGATGTGTGGCAGGCGGTGTAAAGGTAGTGAGGTCTTAGCAATGTCTTTTCAGTTGAAGACATGGCACCATGGATGATAGAACACAGCATGTTTGCATACAACTGTTTCCTCAGTCATACGCAAAGAGGATAGTTCAGTCATACATGTCTGATGGGAAAACATTTCTGCATCCTTGCATATGACGGAAACGTATTCCCATCAGACATTGTGGTTTCAACAGAATGGGGTGACAGTCCACACAGCTAGAGCATCAATTGACATTATTCATCATCATCTCCCAGGTTGCCTCATTTTCAGGTTCAGTGACATTTACTGGCCTCCTTGTTTGCCTGATCTATCCATGAGTAATTATTTCTTGTGAGGACACTTCAAGACGTATATACGAGCATAAGCCCTGTTCTTTGCAAGAACTGAAGGAAGCTCTTCACATGTAAGTTGCCAAAATCATCTCCAGAAATGCATCACTGATAATAGACACCACATGGGAGATGTTGTTTTCCACACTTGATTCTGTAAAATGTTATTTCAATAAGAACTCACATCTTCCAACAAGTATCTTTTGAAGTAACAATTACAGATGTTGTGATTTTTTAAAAAAACATCCATCCTTTCTGCCCAACCCTGTACTTAAATTTAATTAGCATGCATAATATAATCTTAGATCATCATTCATATCATGTGACACTGCTATGTGCACATTCAAATTGTTTCTGTTGTTTCCTTTACATTATACGATGCATTATACACACTGCAATAATAATTTTTTTTCCTTTTCCAGGTTTAATATCAAATTCCCTGAGATTTCCATGACCTTTCCTTTATCTGATAAATTCCCTGACATTTCCAGGTTTTCCAGATGTCCAGGTCTGTTGGACACCTTGTTTATAATCAGTTCAAAAAATATTTGTTTAACACTATCCTTAGCTTTCAGTTACCTGGCAGTTTAAGGTTAAGTTGCACGTTACACTTACAATGCAGGGCTTCTACTTTCCACTAGTCAAACTGTTTTTGCTGATTAAAACATATTTTATCCAAACATTATATTATATATAACTGGATGCATATTTTATCACAAAATATTACTAAAACTTGTAGTAATGACTAAGAACTGGTTTGATATTAATATTAAACTAGTGACAGAATGATTAATCAAAATCAGAATCGAAAAAATTGGGCATTTTCCAGTAATCAAAATCAGCAAATCTCATTACGACTTTCAATTCTTACAAACAATTCTTCCACTTTTATAAGAAAATTAATTATTTGTTTCAATCAAAGATTAAAAACTTTATAAATTATGATATTAAAAATTAAATATTAGTTAATTGGAAATGTTCAGGTTGACAAAGCAAAAACTATGTGATGCCACATACAAGGTGATGTCTGTCACAGCAGACTTTTCTTTTGTGTAATCGGAACAATGAGAGATTGCACTTGTCAATACTAACTGTCCCCATTTTTAGGGGAGATAGATAGGGTGACTTTAGGATTTCCAGTTTGACCACCAGCAATATGTATTCTGTATATATATACAAGGGAGTTTCAATAAGTAACACTTTTTATTTTTTTAAGCAAAAGTTTTAATGAATATGGAAAATACAGAATATATGAAATGAAATATTTGGATTACGCTACTTCTCGACATAGGAACCATTCAGGTACAAGCACTTGTCCCAGTGGTGTACCTGCTTGAAGATGCCTGCATTGTAGAATGCCAGTTCCTGGCCATACAACCATCTACAAACAGCTGATTTAACCTCCTCGTCAGAATGAAACCTCTCTCCAGCCAGGAATTTCTTCAAAGGACCAAAAAGGACACTGAGCAATTTTTCTGACAGCATCTTCAAGCGAATGCTGCAGTTGCTTTGAATCGTTTGATCAACAACAGCGACTGATTGAGGCAAAGCTGCACTTACCAGACGACCTGAACTATGCTCATTAATCACACACTGATGACCATTTTTAAACATTTCGCACCATCGATGGACATTTGAATAGTACATGCAATTGTCACCGTACAGTTTCTGCATTTCTACATAAATATGTTCACATTTCTTGCCTCCAGCCCATAGAAAACAAATAACACTTTGCTGCTCTTGGAGAGTGAATGATGATAGAGTGTGCACTATTTTCTTTCCATTTGTCAGAAATGCCCTACAGGTGACATGAGTGTTCCTATTGTGCAATAGTGTTGCCAAAAATTCAAACTTCATTTACTATATTCACATTTTTGTACACATTATTAAAACATTTGTTTAAAAAAGTAAAAGGCATTACTTATTGAAACACCCTCATATCTATATATATAAAAATGAATGTATGTGTGTCTGTGTGTGTGTGTGTGTGTCCTTCATGCATTGCCACACCGTTTATCCGATTGAAGTGAAACTTTGGGAAGTTATTTAATATACTCTGGCGAAGGTTTGTGGCATAGTACGATTGCCATAAAACTTTGGAAAGTTTTTTTAATTTTTTAATACACTCCCGCGAAGTACATTTATCCTACGATAGATGGCGCGCGTTTACACGAGCATTCGCGCACAGTGTGTCCGATCGATTTCAAATTGTGAAGACCATTTCCCCCCTTAAAAAATATCTCTATATATGCATTTGTGAACTGTTATTTACGATATGTATAATAATTTTTGTTTAATCACTTTATTTCAACTTTTTTTTTGCTAATTATGTATTCCCTCGAGCTTCGTTAAAACCTTAACTGTACCCCGAACAACAACCGAAGTTGTAGGAAGAAATTCGCGTATTTTACCGATCTAGGTATCCCCCCTTTTCCAAATTTTAATATCGACTCAAAATAATTTAAAAAGACAAATTACAATAAAACGGTTTATTATCCAACTATCAGAAATTTCACAACATGCCAAGGAAGAGAGGAAGGAGCAATTAAATAATTAAAATTATAAAGGATTAAAAAATATATATAAAAATGGGGAATATCGCACTTCTGACAATCGCTGCGAGTGTGTGGGCTAAATTTGGAGAATCCGTGCTTCTCGCATGGACAACTGTATGTGGCCGGCTCACGCGTCGAAAAACCTTCCGATTTATTCGTGTACGCACCAGAGGGAAAAACAAAAAATATCGTGTATCCACAAACACTCCAATAAATAAATAGAATTGAAACGACACTTTGAAATGTTTTTCCCATGAAAATGAATAATAATAATAAGTTTCAATAAAAATAATAAAATGTAAATTGAATTTTATCATAACGAGTTTGCTTGAATTTCCTTTCTTCTGAGATCGCAGCAATGCGCGACGGGTAAGCTAGTATATATTAAAAGTAAAATGTTCTGTCATTACCACACACAAATAACATAAATTTAAAACTTAATTTGATTTACAATTTGAAAATTTCAAAACAACTTCTAAAAGGTTTTTAAAAACATTGTTTTAATTTTAAATTGATAATTTAAAATTTTAATTAATTTTAATTAATTTTGATTTTATTTTTAATTTTGGTTTTGGTGTAAAGACCAGAGTTTTAATTATTATTTTATTATTTTTATTTATTTAATTTTGCATTAATTTTGTCTGCATTTTTTGAACTCTTAATTACAATTTTTTAAATTAATTACAACTTTTATTTTCTTTTGTGACATAACTATGAAAATTGTTTGTGCTGTTTTGCACAAAAGATAATCAAATTTAAATTTATTTTAATGTTTTAGCATTTTCATTAATTTTCGTTTTATAAATTAGCCTGCTTTTTAAAGATATTTTAAAACTTTATTTAAGTTATAAGCAAGTTAACATTACAATTTCATGGTGAACTCAGGATATATTTTTCTTCCAATCAGAAGTTCAGACTATTTACAAAAAAAAACTAATTTTCTATCTATTAATCCATTAACACAACTACAGAAGTACCCGCAACATTGGTTTGAAGAAAAACTTCAATAAAAACAAATAATAAATAAGTAAAAACTTACAAATTAAAAATGATCAAAACGTCAGCCTTTTATTTGAGGTTCTGACGTCTTTTACATTAAAAACAACAAGCAAGTCTTCTCACCTTACCATCAAGTAGTTATCCAATTTTTATCAGGTTCAAGCCCTCTGGTATGATTCGAGTTATCCTTTTATTTGCATATAGATACAATTTCATGGTGAACTCGGGATATATTTTTCTTCCAATTAGAAATAATAATGTGGTTGTGTTAATGGATTAATAAATAGACTCAAAAATTAATTTTTTTTTTTGTAAATAGTCTGAACTTCTAATTGGAACAAGTTAGCATTAATTTATAAACAAGTTAACTATTGGGCTACCTAGTTCTAAATCAAGGCTGGTGGTCAGCAAAAATATTTAAGTGTCAGAAAACAGTTTAAAATATAAATAAAATTATATTTTAATTGAAAAAATATTATATAAAATTAATTTCAATATTTACTATGTTTACTTATAATGATAAATTACTTTCTCATTGTAATTATGAAAGTTTTTGATATGATTTGTAGATGATGCTGTAATATGTTAAATTTGCAAATGTGATTTGCATGATTCTGAGTAAAACTTCTTGTTCACGTAAGTTTACTGCCATTTTGAGTTTTAAAATTTGTTTTTCAAGATGAGTAAGTCTTGAATTTATGGCTCAGATGAATGAATTCAAAAATGGTTAACTTATAATGATAATATTTGTTTGGCTCATTGCATCACTTGCTGAACCTCATTTAGTGTTAAATATGATGGAATTAAAGCATTTATGAGGCATACCAATTGTGAGAAGTATGAAAAAAAAAAACTGTATCTTCTTATTTACCTTCCCTCTCCCCCCAGTCATTGCACCAACTAATGAAGCAGTTTTTCAAAGATGGCAACCCTAGATGACACAATGGGACAGTTCTTTGAGTAAAAGGGAATTAGTTGAAATTTCTTTAATGGGAGTGTTGCAATATTAACTTTATCTGAAATAAGATTACAAATTTATTTTATAGTACACAATAAAAGTATGTATATCCACATAAATGGAGAATATTCAGGTCTCTTTCAAAAGATTGATTCTGGATTTCCCAATTATTTTCCATTCTTAAGTTTAATGTTTATTAATTAATGAATGTACCATTCTCATAATGTAAATCATTAATTTTTCTAAACTAAAATAAACTTTAGAAAATATTCAAAAGAATCAGGAGTTTTTGCAGAATTGGAATCAGGAGACATTTTGGTATTGTCCCATCACTAATTAAACTCACCAAACTAGAAAATCCAGCAGTATAACCCTTAGTTTAATAAAAACAAACATTTTCAACAAACTTAAGTTACCTGCTTCAGATTGAGAAGTAATTCAGAAGAAAATTAAATCAATGTTATGTGCTAGATTTTCTGGTTCAATGAGTGTTTTAATTTTAGTATTACAAAAAAGAAGATAAATTTTAAAATATAAACAATACATACATTAACTAATCCAAAATAGTGTTCATTTGAAGGAAACTGGTCATGTCCTATTTCTTTCTCCAATTGAGAGGCGTTGGCTCCCTTAAAAAAATAGATATTTCCAAATTTAAAATTATTTAGTCTTTTCATAAATAATACTTCTAAAATGTAATAAATTAATGAAGTATGATTAAACATTTTTATACATGATACAAAAACAAGTTAACATCAGAACTATAACTTAGTTAAATATAATTTCAAAATTTTATTTTTGTTCATATTTATATTTCAAATTACATAAAAACACTAATCAAAAAATTCAATAGCATTTAAGCCAAATAAAATAATACTATTCTTTATTACAGTAGTCTATATGGATTAATGATTACTGCTTCCAATTAAGCAAATTCCCAGTTTAAATACAAATAAAAAATAAACAACAAAACAATAAAATTCTGAAAACAAAAAATAAAAGGGTAAAAGAAATAAAACGTACAATGTATAAAATAAACAAAGCATAAAAATTACAATGGATAAAATATAAAAATTGCAAAGTAAAAATATAAAAGAATTAAATTCATAATATACATGGTTGGGCCAATAAATCCTTGGACTCAAATGGATAGAGAAAAAAAAACTACTCAACTTTTTAATGATAAAAGACATTATTATATATATGTAGTTTTCAATGTACTAGCCATTTTGTTCTACACACATTCTCCAGCAGTGGACAAGATCATCAAATATCTTATGGATGTTTGTTTATTGCTGTTTTACAGTGCAAGGGCGATGGGCCATGCTGCGCCAATCATATGATAAAATGTTAAATTAAACATAAGAAAATGGTGCTTATAAAGGAAGCAGTTAATATAAAATAGCAACATTCAAGACACTAACATGGTAAAAGCATAAAAATAGCCAAAAAGGCTTAAAAAAGCAAAATATATACCAGTATGTATAATAAAATTCTCACTAACCATCAACTACAATAACAGAACAATGTAAAAGTATAAAAATACTAAAAGCTTTATAAAAATATTCAACAAAAACAATAAAAAATGTATAAAATGAAGAATAAAATGCATGCTTTAAGACAAGTGCAGCTAATAGAAAATATATAATAGCAATATGCAACATTCATAAGAAAGCATAATGGAAAGGGTCCAGAAGTCAAAGCATTAGATCAATGGCTTCCTATAGATAGTGGGCAAGGCATGAATGTCAGCGACCTAGCGTTGAAGGCAAAGTCAGAGATCACTAAAAAGCTGAGCCACAACAATTTTAAAGAAACTAATGGTTGGTTGTCTGAATGGAAATGATAGACAATATCAAATATAAAAGAGCACACAGCAAAAAGAGCAGTGCAGATAATATAAGCATTGAACAATGACAAAAAATTAAAATCCCTACTTTTTTGGAGAATTTCTGTTCTAATGATATTTACAACACTGATGAAACTGGCCTCTGTTATTATGCTATGCCAGACGGCTCCCTGGGTTATAAGCACACTGCACTGTCAGGGTATAAAAGGACATTACTGTGTTGTGCTGTGCAAATCTGTCGGATACTGACAAATAAAAACTACTAATTGTAAAAAAGACTGCTAAGCCTCAATGCTTTAAGGAATTAAAAGGCTCACACCAGTCCACTTGTTTCTGATTTTAGTGAGATGAGTAGTGGACTGGTGTGATAAGTCCTTTATATTTATTATTTAAAAAATTTAGATTTTAAAAACAATTTTTTCAGCAGGTATCCTTAAAGGTTTCTAATTTTCAAGATCTACCATGTAAACCTCTTATTATAATGATCTCTCTACTGAAGGAAAAAAATGGCACCTCTCAAAATTAGACTCATGTCCTACTGCTTCTCTCTCCAATTCCTTTGATGAAATTTTACAACTCCAGATTTTCTACATATGGGGATATACAGAAAAGAGAAACTTTTTTTTTTAAATCACAACATCTGTAATTGTTAATACAAAAGATTGTTGGAAGATGAGTTTGTATTAAAATAGCATTTTACAGAATCAAGTGTAGAAAACAACAATTAACACCTCAATATTACTTCCAGCAGTCAAAAGATTTTAATAATCTAACGTTTTTGGCCATCTTTTAGAGGCCCTCCTCAGGATGAAACATTAAAAAACAGTTCTATCTTTTGAAGGATTCTAATAATTGAATACAGCTGTGTTCCAAACTTTTAAATATTTAAAGGATGCGTACGATATAAAAATCGTTACGTTTACAACACAAAAAAATTATTATTTTAAAATAACGCTATACATAAATTATTATTGTAGAGTTGTGAAAATTAGCACGATGTAAACAATTTGTTTTACAATAATGCTATACATCAATTATTATTATAGAGTTGTGAAAATTAGCGTGATGTGAAGGCTTTGTTTTCTTATACAAAGCAGAAAGATTAAAAATAATTACACTTCCGATTATTGTTGTGCTTTGTGGCAATGTAAATAATATTTCCACGATTGTGGAATCGGAATATAATCAGAGTTGATGCAGTTTCCCTTCACAGTTTCTATATAAATCTCAATAGCCTCCAACGAGCGTAAGTCGTGTCGGACGAAGGCCCTATGTAAAAGAGTAGCCTCATCCCAACATGGGGAAACCCCGGGTTTGGTAGCATACTGGGCTAGAGCAGTACTATACTTCTGCTTCGACACATCATATTTGTGGTCCCATAATCTAGCCTCCAGGGATCTGTATGTGGATCCAATGTATGTTATCCGATGATTGAAACGTTCGTCATTCAAAGGTATGCGGTACACCCCCGACGCTTTTTTATCATCAGACTTGTCCTTAGCATTACATAAAAGTCGGAAAATATTCTGCTTTCTCTTATATGTTAAGCAATGTTCCTTAGTGATTTTACTAAAAATTCGTTGAAGGGATGGTTCGTAAGATAAAATCACCCTGTTGTGCTGTGTATCATTAGTCCCTGTGTTGGTGGTAGTTATTGTAGATTGCTGCATGGTAGAAAGCCTGTCTATTAAGGACTGTTGGTACCCGTGTGCCGATGCTAAACGTTTGATGTTTTTTAGTTCTCTGTAGATATCGGAAGTTTCAGAGTAGTGGAAATAAGCCCTTGAGACTAGGGCCCGAAAAGCTGATACCTTAAACGGCCAAGGGTCTGCTGAGTTAACAGGTATAAAGAGAGGACAGTATGTTGGTTTGCGGTAAATGGTCGTGGTTATATTTTTATTTGCTGTGTTAATCTGGACATCTAAGTAGTTAACCTCTGTGCGGCTTTCCTGGTCTAACTTTAGTGTTAAGCCGTAGGCGTTTTTGTTAAAGGCTTCTAACACTTTCTCTATATCAGGTTTGATTTTCCAAATAATCAAAATATCATCCACGTATCGCATGTAGCTAAGGATATTGGATTGTAAGCTTAGTAAGACCTTTTCTTCTAATTTTTGTACGACGAGTTTGCACAGATCCCCAGAGACTGGGCTACCCATTGGTATGCCTCTTTTTTGGATGTAAGTTTGACCATCAAAGTAAAAAAAGGAGGAATAGCATATTAGATGTGTAAGCTCTAATATTTGGGAATGGAATCTCTGGCTGTCAGGTGTAGTAGTGAGAAAGAAATCCTTTAGCGCACAAAAACATGGTTCCAAACGAATGGAAGGGAACATCAATACAAAATCGAATACAGTAAGATATTCGTTCCCATTTAACTTTATAGTATTCCTTTAAAAAAGCATTATTCTGAGCTATATTGATGATTATATACAGTACAGTACTGTACATTTAAATATATACAGTGCTTTTTTGTCATAGAATGCAATGGAGTTTATAGTATTCCTTTAAAAAAGCATTATTCTGAGCTATATTGATGATTATATACAGTACAGTACTGTACATATAAATATATACAGTGCTTTTTTGTCATAGAATGCAATGGAGTTTATAGTATTCCTTTAAAAAAGCATTATTCTGAGCTATATTGATGATTATATACAGTACAGTACTGTACATATAAATATATACAGTACTTTTTTGTCATAGAATGCAATGGAATGGCATTCCACCACCTTTTCTTGATATATTTTAAAAGTTTTAAGAGAATTTTTGAAAATTTGACGTTTGGTCTGCATTAAATCACTCTGTTGATCATAGAAGATCGGCAACAAAATTATTAAGACAGTCCTGCTCTTGCTTGTGTGCCAAATCTTGTGTACGATGCATGCGTAGTGCAAACTTAGTTTGTGTGACTGTGACATACTGCTTGGCTCATGTTTGGTCATGTCATGATTTGGCAGCAATGCAGGAATCGCAGTGCTAATTGCAACCGATGACTGTTATTTCGACTGTTTTATATTTCACTAGTAGCCCAAGACGCCTCCTAGTGAGTGTTCTAGCAGCATTACAAATTCAGAATTTTTAATGCTGCTAGAACGCCCATAGATAAGCATTCCACCACCTTTTTTTTCTCAAAAAAAGTACTGTGTATATATATATATATATATATATTCCAAAGA